ATCAAAACTCACACAGCAGAGACTAGGTATGAGATCAGCAATCATAATTAGAATGAAACAAACTACAAAAAGGTTAAGAGAGTTTTAAGAGGAATACGACTACAGCTGCTTACTTCTAACTCGGAACAAATTGGTTGCAATCTGAGAAGTCAATATTTGAGCATTCCAAAATTGCGGAAAGAAGAAATTTAGAATCCAGTGCCGACCAAAAATCAAGCGGAATCTCTCTCCAAGGTTAGTTCTAAAACTCTTAGAATAACTGAAGCCTGGAGTTTTTGGAATAATGAGGGAAAGCTCACCCGTCGCCATCAAAAGCATCACGGACGCTGCTGTGATATTCATACATAGTGTAGCCATAACAAGTATAGTATATCTTGAAAATGGGACCGTATTACGAATCACGTAGACGTATTTGAGGGATATTTTTACCTGCATTCCAAAGAAACCTCCAGCAGCTATAAGGCTAGCGAGAATAAAGGAAAAGATGGTGCACACAAAAGCGTGCAAAAAGTTACTGTAGCCCATCATCCAACGAATTACGGCTATCGGACCAACACAGTATAAAAATCCAAAAGGAAAACTGGGAAAAACTATTATAGTATTGACAAAGTAACTTATAATTTCTAACAGAACGCTTACCCAGCCGTAGAGGTCTCATATAAATAAGCGACTGTATAGCGTGCTCCAAGCAGTAAGCCAACACAAGCCCAAAACAAAAATATGATGAAGTAACGCTGAAATGGAATGCTTAAATTAGAGATTCGAACTCCGCCTGGAAGAAAACTACTTCTAGTTGCAGAGCGGCCTACAAAAAATGACTCATGACAATGATTACATTCCAACAATGTGTGACAATTAGGAACTAGAACATCATGTAGCGTTAGATGCTACAGCTTCGGAACATCACGATATTTGCGTAACATGCGGGGCGATCATTATTATAATGACTCAGTTAAGGCGTTTTTGACACCTCAAATAGAATATTATTTCCAAAGTGCCTTTTATAATTTATACACTATGTGTTTTGTGGGCAACCAACTCCTTAGGAACTCTCAGAAAATCGTGCATTGACAATACCACTTGCTAAACATTAATACTTTGCATATGTTACATACGAGAGTTATATACTGTTATATACTGTATTGCATACGATAGTTATACAATAGGCATGAGTTTCTCAAATCTTTGTAGTAATCCATGGTGGACCAGTGTAGCGCGCCTTTAAGGCGTTTAATAACATATTCGAAAACAGTGAAGTCCCCTTAGCGAAACCAATTTCACGATGATCATGCACAGATACTACTGTCACCTACAGTAGCCCTAGTTCACCACAATAAAAAGCATCTCGGAAACAGTTATAACTCGCGGTTGAGTTTAGGACGGTGTCATCCTTAACTTGCAATCAGGTACACACCGTAGGCCCGCGGTGCAAAACGGCACTTTACCCACCATGTGTCCACGCTGATATGTATGTGTCGATAAACCAACCTACCTTTGAGCCTCGTTACAAGCACAAATCAAAAGGCGATAAGCTTTTAAATAAGTGAAAATTTCGTAAACTGCTAAAATTAAAACAAGCGCATACCTGATTTCCCAGTCCCACGCAAGCGCCGGTTATAAAGCAATGGTGATCTTTTCGCAAAACACAGATTTTACAAATAGGGCAGTGGTGGCTTCTACAAAGTTGGTTACATCTAATAAGGTGGAATTTCAAGTAGTGCTCTATTAATACAGTCAGCTAAATTAATTACTTGAACCCTACCTTATTGGAGCTTCGCGGTTGCATACGGTGCAAAATCTGCACAGATATGCTGGATCAAATTCTCCTTCCTCTTCTGCTGCGAGAGTGAGTTCATCTGAACAAAGATTTGTGTACAAAGGTTGATTAAAATCAGCGTATATATACCGCTTGATATAGTGCTTCGGAACAAACCAGCCACACAAGATTGGCGTTGCCAGTGAGTTACACAGTTATGTCTACAAAACTTAAGAACATTTCTGAGAGCTCAACAATTTACTAGGTATCTCGAAGGAATCACATACAGCAAGCACCCACCGGGAGTAGTACTGGAATAGAGCAAGATTTACAAGAATTTCCACCATGATGAGAACTGCAACATCGGAGACAAGACCACAGTGTTCAGAAGATTCGTAGCTACGACAAGAGATATTTATGCCAACATGGTAAACTGCCATCAACATAAAAACCTTAAATGTGTGAAAACATAAAATTTGATCTCTGCCGCGAGTACAGCTTTATTCTGAAAACTTTTCCCTTTACAAAGAGTTAGTAATCAAGCATTTGATAATATTCAGTGGTGATTTATTTCACAGTGCGGCTATGATAAACTCTGACAAAGCAATAGTACTAAGCAAATAGCAGTTCGAGGCCTATCGATCTTTCTTAGTACATGAATCGCGTTTGTGATTGCATCCAAAAACGGTACAATCACACAACAGTAGATCTACATTCTTTGCAAGGAAAACTGGATTAATTTTGATACTTGGTTGCA